TGGCCCTGGGCCCCGCCGCAGGTCCACACCGCCCTCACACACGTTGGACACCACCTTCCGGTACCTGGAGGGAGAGAGGCGGTCGGGAGGGATGTAATGTACTTGCCAACGGGGGTGACTCTGGCTCAGCCCTGGGCCTCCGCCGCCAACCCTCCTGCCTGACCCGCCCTGCTGCTGGTGCTGCCGGGCCGGAGGAGAGAGCTCTGCACTTCTGGGGGCACCGAGACGGGGTGGCCTGGCACTCGCTTGGCCCAGTCCTGCCAGTGAGAATAATGCTGCTGCTGCTCCATCCAAGTTTCCCTGGTCTTGCTGATTAAATGCAGAGGACAGAGTGTCCGACAGGACAGGCCCACTGCTCAGCTGCCTGGACAGAGCAGGGCTCCAGGAGCCTGGTCCATCAACCCCTCCCTGAGACACCTGTTTACTGGATGTTTTTAGTTTTTATTTTTTAATTTTTTAAAAATTTTGGTAGTGGAGACTGAATGCAGGCCCTTGTACTTGCAAGGCAGGCACTGGAACCAATGAGCTAAATCCCCAGGCCCTACTGGATGGTTTTAAACACTGGGCCTGGGAAGGAGGTGATCACAAACCTACCCTGGCAAAGCAGACTATCCACATCAGTGGAGAACCGTGGTGGTAACAGTGCCAGGAGAGGCGGCACCTGGGGACCCTCTCCTCTCCTGAGGACAAGGGCTTCCACTGAGCAGGAGTCATGGGCAAAGACCCTGTCGTAGCTGTCTGGCGCTCCACAGAGGGAGCAGGGAGGACTAGGGTAGGAGGGCTGCTGGGCAGAGCCTGAAGGGCCCCGGGGCACTTTTCAGAGACACTGGGAAGTCACGGTGTGGGTGGCATCAGTGTGCAAACCCCTTTGGGCTGTACGGAATGCAGTCTCAGAGGCTGGTCTTGCTCGACAGTGCTCAAGGCCCATGTCCCTCAGAGCCGGTTGCCCCCAGGTGGCTCGGATGCTGAGGGACAGAAGTTGATCACACAAAGCCCCATGTGAGAGGTGTTTAGCAGAGGACGCGCTCCCCTGAGGGTGGCCCACCCGTGTGCACGCAGCATGGCACGAGGCCCACCCTCGACACAGGCCTGGCTCTGATGCTCCACCCCTGGGCTGTGCGGACAGAGGGTGGTGGAGAGATGGGTGGATGGGTGGAAAATGACTAGAAGCAAGGATGTGTGGATGGATGTGGATGGACAGCTGGTGGGAGAGTGGGCGGGTGGTCAGGGGGTAGTGGAGGAGGAGTGGACGGATGGATGGACAGGTGGGCTGCTGGGTGGGTAGATGGATGGGCAGACAGAGCGATGGAGGAACCGTTAGAAGGGTGTCTGGGGGATGTGTGCGTGGCAGAGAGGTGCCAGCACATGTGCTACTGAGGCCAGCGCCCGCTGCGTCTGGTCCTGCTTCCTGTTTCCTGCAGCTGCCCAGGGAAGAGCTGGGATTTCCCACAAGCCCTGGGTCCTTTTCTCTCCCATCTGAAGACTTCTGCACAGAGGTGGGGCCCTTCCGTAGGGTGTGCGGAGGCCCGCAGCTCTTACACACCTAACGCCTGTATAGAAAGCGATCACTTCAGAAGCAGGTGCTCGGCCCAGCGGTCACAGAGTCCTCACTGAGCCATCTGCGGGCCTCCTGCCGGCCTGCGTCATGCGCCCAGCTCAGGGCACCTGCAGGGACAGGTGACTGCAGCACGCTGGGGGCCTGGCTCAGGGGCCCAGTGAGCAGCAGTTCCTGCAGCTGCAGAGCGGGGCACTGGGGCGGACCCGCCTCTGGGCAGCCTTCGCCCTGCAGCGGCAGGGGCCACACTCACCCCGCGCTGCTGGTGTAGGTCTGGCCCACTGCGCAGTCATCCGGCGGGGCCAGGGGGTTGAACCAGAAGTTGGCTGCGCACTTGGTGCCTGGCTCGGAAGAGGGCGTGTGCTCGAACCCGTAGTCACTGGGAGAGGGGAGAACAGTGTCAGGCACAGGAGGGTGAGGCAGGGGAGCGGCCTCAGGCCGAGGCCCACTGAGTCCCGGAGGGAGAGGTGGCCTGGACAGGACAGTGATGGTGACAGTGATGGGAGAGGCATGGGGTGCTGTGCTCCAGGCAGAGGGCTCCTGGAGGGTGCTCAGGAGTGGCGGGGGCAGCCCCACCAGGGATGGAGGCCGGGGTCCAGGGCCAGGATGGGAGGGCACAGGGCAGAGGTGGCCCAGAGGGTAGAGAGCCACACTGTCCTGGGCAGCAAGCAGCTACAAGGGTCCCCCCCCATACTGGGAATCGAACCCAGGGCCTTTGCACGGAACTACCCAAAACCCAGACCTTGTTTTATTTTTTATTTGGAGACAGGGTCTCCCTGAGTTCCTATGTAGCTCAGGCTGGGTTCAAACTCGATCCTCCTGCCTCAGCTTTCCAGAGACTTGGAACACACCTCACCCACAGGCACTTCCGAGGCTCTCAGCAGAGGCCCCAGTGGAGGAGACCGGCTGCCCCCTGGTGCCCTGAGGCCCGATTCTCCCCAGTGAGAGGCTGCAGGGTGCTTCAGAGAATGTGTCTAGGCGTTTGTCACACTTCAGACCCCAGGGCACTGGGACCTGACACTGGATGGGGCCAGAAAAGTCTGGGGAGCCTGGGGGACACAGCAGGCGCGGTCGGCGCTCACCAGAGGAAGTCCGAGTCCCGGCACTGGCACACGCGCACCGAGAGCGCCGACGTGAAGCTCCTGCCCTGGACGCACCAGGACGCCGGCTTCCTCTTCCGGTAGCTCCTCTGCTGGCCCATGATGCAGCGGTCGCCCTGCGGCAGGGACAAGGGGTGAGGGGCCGCTGGGGCCGGGTCCACCACTTACACGCGGGGAAACTGAGGCTGCACCCTCCCAGCCTTCCCGGCACCAGAGGGAGCTGGAAGCCCCACCTGGAGGCTGGCCAGGTCCCAGGAGCCATAGTCGTCTTCACCACACGGCCGGGAGAAGGAGGGCCGGAAGTCCACCTTGACCAGCTCCCAGTCGGAGCGGAAGCTGATGTGGCCGAAGACCCTGGGGACCAGGCGGGGACGGCACCTTACCAGGCGGCGGCCGCCCA